GGTAGACAGAGCGGAGGTAACCCGGTTACATATTAAATTAATCGTCGGAATAATGACGAAACAACCTCTCACTTAAATTAACTAAGCCTCGCTTGTTGTAACAATGTAACATTCAACACGTTCTCAAACTTCCCCGACATCCTGGTCATGCTACACCAGCCACTACCGCGCGCACTCAACACGGCGCATCACGACGACTTGAGCAACATGGCTTACCACACAGCTATTTATAGACCACAGAGATCGGTATTCACGTGTCACGTCTGCTTTTTAACCTAGACTATAGACCGTGCCACGCCCTTCTTTTTTAGATATAGACGCTCACGTGCTTACCGCAGCCACTTTTTTTTCTCTGCTGCTCGTCAATAGAAAAAAAGGTAAAGGGTCGGACATCATCAAGACGTAACATTAAAAATTTCGCCTCAACCATTTGAACCCAATCATTAGTGGGAATGACACGAACATACATCATCGAGTGCTTAGCCTTAAGTGTAGAAAGTTTCGTCTCAAACCACAGAACCCGCTCGTCGTCAATAGATAAATAGATAATGAGGTGAGCATACATCATCAAATGGTAGAAGTCTCGCCTCAAACGATTGAACCAGGTCGTCAATAGAAATGAGTTGAGGCAAACATACATAATCAAGTCTTAACGTTGGGAAGTTTCGCCTCAAACCACTGAACTCCACTCATCAATAGAGATGAGGCGAACATAGTACATCATCAAATGTTGGAGGTTATATCTCAAACCGTTTAACCCGCTCGTCAATAGAAAGTTTCCGAGCTTCTTTCATCAAGTTGTAAGTTTCATCTCGAATCTCGAACCATTGAACCCGCTCGTCCATAGAAATGAGGCAAACACACATAATAATCAAAGTCTTGACGTTGGGAGGTTTCACCTCAAACCACTGAACTCCACTCGTCAATAGAGATGAGGCGAACATGCATCATCCAACGTTAGAAATTGTATCTTAAACCATTTAACCCGCTCGTCAAAAGACATTTTCTGAGCTTCGACAATCAAGTGTTAAGTTTAATCTCGAACTATGGATTTTGAACCCACTCGTCAATAGAGATAGGGCAAACATATATATATATATCGTTATCAATGGTTGGAAGTTTCGCCTCAAACCGCTGAACTCCACTCATCAATAAAGACGAGGCGAACATACATCATCAAATGTTGGAGGTTTTCTCTCAAACCGTTGAACCCGCTCATCAATACAAATTTTCTTAGATTCTGTCATCAAGCGTTAAATTTCATCTCGAACCACTGAACTCCACTCGTTAACAGAACTGAGGCAAACATACAGCGACCTCAGTGCTTTCTTGTCCTATCTCCATTTTCAATAACAGTAACAGTGAAAACAGTTCATAACAAAGAGCGAGCTAAAGAAGAAGTCAATGTTTTTAAAAATGGAGACAAGACCCAAAAAAAACACTGAGGTTGCGAATATATATATCATAATAACATGTTGGAGGTTTTCGACTCAACCACAACTGAACATCGAAAACAAAAGAGTACATTCTGGGCACCGTCTTCCATCGCTATCGCGTCGACAATCAAAAGAGTTACTATTTTCTGCTCGCGCTCCGGGGCGTTAGAGGGGGCGTTCAGTCAGTCAGTCAACTCAAGCTACCCCCGGCAACTCTCTGCGCTTCATCCCACACATAAATGTTCTGTTTTAGCAAGTGCTTTACGGCACTGCCAACACAATAAGGTCATATAAGTGCCGAAGATTAGAGGTGTTGATTAGGTGTTACAAGAAAGTAAGTTTGTTTTTTTTAAATGTTTTTTAAGTAGAGGTTTTACTGCGCCCGCAACTGCATGACGTCATATGAGCGCCAGAAGATTCGAAGTGTTACAAGAGAGTAACAAAACATTTAAAAAAGAAGGGGAAATGAGGACGGTAGAAGGAGAGGCGCATGACCCTGGACTGACTGAGAAAGTCTAGGCCTGACCGCAACACCACAGTCGCCGGTAATTATACTACAGTTTTATGTACATAATTTGTATTATGATCTCTTCAACCCAGACGTCCGTTCAATTAAGATCCTGCTGAACTCGTGGCCGACATAGTACATTAGTCTCTGAGGATGCTCATCTGACCACCGGACGGACCACAAAAGACAAGTCTAGTACATGTACAAAGTTCCATACAAACGCCATGGTCTTTAGTATAGTTTTAGTAGAGGTTTTACGGCGCTTGCAACTGCATAAGGTCATATGAGCGCCAGAAGATTAGAGGTGTTACAAGGAAGTAACAAACATAAAAAAGGAGGAGGGGAGATAGAGAAGTGAAGATAGATGTTTATCAGGCAAGGAGGAGCAAACCACACCAGAGCACCCACCAACCATCCACACGCCAAGGACTGGACTATTTCTCCTTCCAACTATATTATTTTAAAAATCACAGTCCTAACTTCACAGGTACAGATGTATTGTTAAGTTATATTTGCCCCAAAACGCAAACTTTCTCTGAATCGGTGCTCGGAGCAATGCATTACCAATGAAACGATCATACAATTTATACGAACATTTTTGTAGTTTGAGTGTTCGGGGTTGCTTTGTTTGTTTGTTTTTGTGTGTGTTTTTGGGGGGGGTTACTTTGTTGGGGGGGGGGGGGT